TTTTTTTTTTTTTTTTCTGCATATATGTATATTGATCTGTACGTTGGTAAATCGAATTTCAGATTGGGTAGCAGATGGAATTCGGAATATTAGTATGAATTTTTTCTGTTTTGATTGTGTATGAGCGTGTATTATGTGTTCTTACTCCATGATTGCGTGTCTGATTCATATGTGAACGGGTTCAAAATTCCTATGGGTGAATTTTGATTGTTCTTGCAGCTTTGTTTGCGACTTGGTTTTATTGTTGTTTTTGTTTTTTGATTAATTAGGTACGTTTGTTGACGTTCTTAGTTCTGTTTAGCTCTCGTGAGTTTCGACTTGCCAATGGCCACGCTTGTGAGACCAGTGTTTGTTTGTTTGTTTATAAGCCTCAAAGCTGTTTCCTAGCCTTTTTAATCATGAAATATGACCAAGTTGCTTTACAAGAATATGGTTTGGGTTCAACTTTGTAGTTATATTTAGCTCAGGTTTGTGTTATTATTCGGTGGAGGCAAGAAATCTGGGCTCGTTTCCCTAAAAGACTTGGCTGGAGCTGTCTTGATATTTGGCTTTAGCAAATATACAACTTGATTCATTCCATAGGAAGAATTTGTCACCCTAGGTGCCTCGAGGTCTGTGATGATTTTCTCGAGCAAGTATAAAATTTGGCTCAAGTTACCAAAGCAATATGACACAACATATGTAGTTATTTATCTTGGTCGTGTTTTATTCTTTGACTCGGCTTCTTATCACTTTGCTTGAGCATGTATAGAACCGATCGAAAGTCTAATATTTGCACGTACTTAGTTGAGAGTATTTTCCTCTTACTAAGTTGTGAAAATGAAATCTGACGCTCATAGTGTTATTATTTGATTTAGTGAGGAATGAATTTGTTGACCAGATTATCTAATGAAGTTGCAAAGTTTGATCAAGGTCGAGACTAATAATAATGATTCTGGAGTGGACTTTCAGGCAATTGTCTGTAGGTTATATGTAATTAACAATTAAATCATCTGTTTAGTTATTGCTATTTCTGTTGGAATAACTAACAATAATCGTATATATTCTTATCCATCTTTATTTGATTCATTTTCTGGATTCTCAAGAAGTACAGCATGCAAGGGTTTCCAGTATGTGTGAGCATGAGTTACTTGAATATTTCCCATGGCATTCTTGCAGTTATTAGACTAATACTCTTCAATTGGAAATTTGTGCTCTTGCAAATGGTAGAATCTATAGAGATGTGTATCAACATAGTTTGAGCTCCTTTGCTATGGAACATCTACATAAACTTTTTTTTCCCAGCTGGCTGGCCCAATCGTGGCTGTGAAATTAATGAAATCTTTTGTCTCAATTTACCTACAGAACCAGAGGCTTCTCCTCAGAAGCACTAGTTGGGCTTGACGTGAGCAGACGACTTAATCAACCTATCAGTGACATATACGAGCGTGTAGTTTCTGCATTTTTTACTAATTTTTTCTTACAAAAACCTTTGAGATATGAGGCTGCGGAGAAGGCTTATACAGTCGTGGACATGACTAAGCCCCTAAGGACGATCATAATCTTTCTGATGTTCAGAATTGACTGGAGAAAACTGTTTCTTGTCTGCTCAATTCTGACCATAGGCAGTGTCTTCATACAGATCTCTTCACTACCATATCCACTGACCCAATGGATTTCCCCACCACGCCTCGTGATTTCATCATATAAACCCCTCAACACTGCACTGCACTTGGGCGAGACTCATTCTTTAGCGGTTGGGGTACCCCTTGAGACCATTCGAGATGCCCCTGTAGTGGTGTCGGCTAATTCTTCTGCCAATCCCAATCAATCTACAGTTATGAGTAGGAAGGAGAGAAGGGCATCTCGACGAAATAGAAGGAGAAGTAACAGTGTAAAGTCAACCAACATGCTCTCACCGCCATCTGCACCCCGTAAAAGACTCCCTCGTCAGCTGGAGGTGCATATCTCATTACTTTTGGCGTTATTTGTTTTGTAAAGTGAAGTTCTTGTTCAGGTTTATTTTTCATGAACTTATTTTGATAAAGTTGCTTGATGTTTGTAGAGACATCTAGCGTCTTTGACCCCAGATGAGGCTCTTGTTTTTGCTAAGGCGGATATCGAGAATGCTTCTCTGTCCCGTGATGTTGATGACGAAGAGTTATATGCCCCTCTGTTTCGGAACATTTCCACTTTTAAGAGGTGCGAATCTAGATACTTGTGCTATATCTCTTATTTTGTTTTTTCTCCTTTGCGGTTGTGCAATATAAGCTTTGTTGAAAATCACTGCAAACTTGAAGAAGTTCCAGTTGGATAATCCCAGCATCTAGTTGAAGAAAATTTGTTACTTTGTGAGGTGCAAACAAGTTGAAATTATGGCGGGAAATGAAAAAAATAAATAAATAACAAAAAGTGACATACTTACCATAAGTCCGGCCAAGGGAGTCGTGAATGGACTGAAGGAGATAGGATAAGGTGGTCCCGTGGTGGCAGGGGAAAAATTCCCATGTCTAGCTTATATGCCCTTTATTCTCCATGTTCCATCATTTGTGACGTTTTTATCTGCAAATTACTGTAAGTGGGTGTGAATTGAGTTGGATTAGAAAACTCATGGGTGGGATCTTGTATCATATTTGAAAACTATGCTTTTGATGGTCATTTTATGAGAAATGAATTTGATAAAAAAATACTAATACAAAGTTGATCAAAATGTTAAACCCTTAGATACTAATGTTATGACCCAATGAAAAGTTAAGCCAATATAGTTAACATTTATCGGGTATATAAGTACGATCCTGCTTTGGTGCACACCCCTTTTGTACAGAAATGATGGTGTGTGATGATTTTTATTGTCTTGAATAATATGAAATTCCAGGAGCTATGAATGGATGGAGTGGATATTAAAAGTTTACATTTATCCAGATGGAGAAAGCCCGATATTTCATCAGCCTCAGCTCACGGGGATCTACTCATCTGAAGGATGGTTCATGAAGCTGATGGAAGAAAATAGGCAGTTCACAACAAAAGACCCAGAAAAGGCTCATCTGTTCTACCTTCCGTACAGTGCGCGCCAGTTGCAGACGGCTCTATACGTTCCTAATTCACATAACCTGAGACCCTTGATAGCATTTTTGCGTGACTATGTCAACAGGCTAGCTGCCAAGTACCCCTACTGGAACCGTACTCATGGGTCTGATCATTTTCTTGTTGCCTGCCATGATTGGGTATGACGATTAATTGCAATTGCATGCATCATCATATGTTAAATTTGAAAGGTAGCCATTTTCTTATGTCAATGGGCAGATGGATTTATGGGGGAATGAGTTGTGAGCAGCTGCTCAGACCCCTTCCCCTTCTCAGAACTGCTTATTATCTTGCAAAAATAATATTTTATAAATTCAGTCAAATTTCAAAATATAGCCCAACCTCAATGTTGTTCTCCTTACAATTGAGCGTAATTTGATCCTGTTTTCTTCGGACGTCTCGATGTTTCTTTATCTTCTTATTTTTATTTTTATTTCCGTTCAAAATATAATCAACATTAAATTTCGAAATCGCGTTAACTTGTCTTACAATCACCGAATTTGGGTGGCATTCTTAGTAATCACTGCACCACAATTCTCGATTTGTGGATACACGTTTCAATTCCAATGCCTTTCTCAAACTGCAGGGCCCGTACACACTCAAGGGCCACGAGGAGCTCATACGCAACACCATCAAAGCCCTGTGCAATGCCGACGTTTCCGAGCGCATTTTCATCCCCGGAAAAGATGTCTCCCTTCCCGAGACCACAATCCGCAACCCGAAGCGGCCTCTCAGGTACATTGGTGGCAACCGTGTCTCCCAGCGGCCAATCCTCGCCTTCTTCGCTGGAAACCGCCACGGCCCGGTTCGACCCATCCTCCTGAAGCACTGGAGCGACCGGGATGATGACATGCGGATATACGGCCCGCTCCCCAACAGGGCCTCGCGAGTCATGTCGTACCCCCAGCACATGAAGTCGAGCAAGTACTGCCTCTGCCCCATGGGTTTCGAGGTCAACAGCCCCAGGATTGTGGAGGCAATATATTACGAGTGTGTGCCTGTGATTATTGCCGACAATTT